CGGCTGTGCTGGAGGAAGGCAGGCTTCACTGCTTTAGCCTGTGCCACTCCACAGTAGCAGCGTGGCTGTGTTGATACCTTCCACAGGCAGGCACGTGCTATGCTTTTGCTAGCCCACAGGATAGCAGCTTGAGCATTTCCCGTGAGGTGTTGTGAATCATAGAATCAATTAGGTTGGAAAAGGCCTTTAAGATCACGTAGCCTTTCTGGCAAAACTGTGTCTTGTGGACCTCTGAAATACTGCCTTGGTTTTGCTGGGCTGTGGGCCAGGGTCTGGGTGGCATTATCGCTCACCTCAAAGTTAGGCAATCCAGTTCAGACAACTGTTTCAGCCTGTGAACCACTGGGAGCTGCCTGTAGCCCATTTGCTCTGAATTGCACAGGCTCAATGAGGCTAGTGCTTATCCTTTTAGCAACTGAATCAACACATAATACTGTCTGTCTTGCATAATTTTGTACCAAGAAAATCCTGTGAAGTCTCTGATGTTTGTTTTGGTGGTGGTTTTCTTCTTACAGAAAATATTAAAGAAAAGAACAAATCTCAAGCCTCATCTCGTGCATATCATCACATTCGGAAAAAAGATGAGATAGAAAGAGAAGATGACACTGCTGCATACCTGAAAGCCTCCGAGCTGGAGAAATGCAGAGATCATCTGAATTCCATACTTGCCCACTGGGAGCCTGTTTTCCCAGCACCACCTGTCAAACATCAAGGGGAGCCTCTCAAATCTGCTGAGCTTGCAGATGAAGCAGTCGATCTTACCTGTGCATCCACTTATGTAGTAACTAAATGGCTAGTGAAGTCCATGGTTGAGCACAGCCTCAATATGCAAAATGTGTCCTTAATTCTGCGTTGGCTACAGAATTGCATCTTGCCACATCCAGTGGCAGTGCAGGAGATGCTCAGGGATGAGATGCTGAGAAACAACATCTTCAGGTTTTACACCCAGGTCTGTGAGGCCAGCAGTGGAACAGCTGGACACTTTAAAGAGCTCTATTTGTTCAGTTCAATCATGCTTCACCTAATGGATGCTCAGGGCCTGACCAACAACAGCTATCATGAACTCGTGAAAATGTTGTGCTTGTCAGCAGAGACGGAAGAGGACATGAACAAGAAAGGTAACTTGTCTTTTCCTTTTCACTCATGTAACAAGGCAGTAATCACAGAATTATATAAGGGGTTGGGTTGGAAGGGGCCTTAAAACTCATCCAGTTCCATCCTCCTGCCATGGGCAGGGACACCTTCCACTAGATAGGTTGCTCAAAGCCCCATCCAGCCTGGCCTTGAACACTGCCAGGGATGGGGCAGCCACAAGTAAGTAGTTCCATGTCTTTTTTTAATTAATCAGAACAGTTTGAAGTTTGCCCATGTCCATTGGTGCTCATAGCTTCACAAAGTAAAAACTATGCCTTTGATGGGATGGGTGCAGGGATTGATAGCACAGAATAGGGTCATGCTGTAGGTAGGGGCTTCTACAGTTGCACTCCTTCAAAGAAATCTTCCTTTCTAGGACTAAAATGGAGTTCAGTGAGGTATAAAAAATGTAATTGCAAGGGGAAAAAAGTCTGCAACAAATGAGTCCATGTGGGCATGGGCTGTAATCCATATGCTGTTCAATATTATCATTTGACAGCAAAAGCCACAGTTCAGTATTCAAACTGTTTTATTTAAAGAGGTCAGAAGGTTGTGCTAAAAAAAAACAAACCTGTTTTCTTCCCTTAATGTGAGGAGGAATCATTGGGTTTGCATGGGCAAACACCCCACAGATTTTACATCTAGGGAAAAGAGTTAGGAAACTGTTTTAAAACATAGGTCTGGAGGTAAAATGGTTTGGGTTTGTATTGAGGTAAAATGGTTTGGGTTTGTACTGCACTTGGAAATAGAAGAATGTCTGTGCTGATTGTTCTCTAATTTTTCTTCCACAGCTGTTTGTGTATTCCTGACTTCTGTGTACATTGGGGACATGTGGCTTGGAGCACAGGAGCCAGATATGTTAATAACCCATGTCAAATTGATCTGCAGTAGCACAGATGATAAATTAAATGATGATGACTTGGAAACTCATAAACAGGGAGAAGAAACTATTACGGCTCTTTGCAAAACCCTTTACTTGGCTACATTGAGGCATTAATTCAGTGAAGTGACACTTAATCTTGAATGTTATATGCTCTGTTGTCATTGCTGTGAGCTGGGAAATCCTCCTTAACTGTTCTCCCTACAAATCTAACTTGTCATAAAGATCAATATTTTATTACTATGTGCAGACTCGGAGGAGGAAAATTGTATTCATCATCTGTCAGTGGAACGTTACAGCTGTAATTTTCCTTTTCTTGAACAGTATGGGACACTGAATGTTATTTATATAATTTTTATTACAGGCATTTTTAACTTCATAAAGAACCAAAAAAGACTGCTTAGTGCATTGCCTCTGGACTGTATTTCAGTGCCCATGTAGTCAAAATCCGTCCTGTCTCCAATATAATACGGGGAAAAAAGGCTGCAGAGCTTCACCACAGTGTGGTGTAACTGCAAAGAATGGGTTGTCAGAGGCTTAGGCATGATGATTCACTGTTCTTGAAGAACCTGGTTTCTTTCAGGATATATATATATATATATATATATATATATATATCTAAGCCAGTATGAATAGAAGACTGAAACCTGGAATCATGATGGTCTGGGATTCTCCTTGTTTTTAAATTAAATGGCTTTTGAAAGCATTTATATTGGAGCTGGTTGTTTTTATTCTTCTGTGTTTTCTTTTTTATTAGAAAAGTCCTGATCATAGAGTCACAGAATCATAGAATCAGCGAGGTTGGAAAAGACCTTAAAGATCAAGTCCAAGCACTGATGGGACTTGCAGTAAAGGCCTATCTTCTCTCCACTCTGAAAAGAAGAGAGATAGAACTAAAACCTAGGTGACTTGCCACTTATTGATTCTCTGTGAAATCTGATAAAGATTTCTTTAATGGGGCCTGGAGGGCAGTTTAATATCCCGTTCCAGATATGCAGACATGCATGGCCTGAGATGGAGCCTTTGAAATGTAAAACCATAATTTATTAAATTGACTCATGAATGCGTTGTGCCTACATACTTTGTACAGATTCTGTACAGGGAAAAAAGCAGAAATGCACACTCATTGTGATGGTTATTTGATTTTGGTTGGTTGGGGTTTGTTAATAAACAAGTGAGACTCAAATAATGAGGGTTGTTTCTGCACATAAATATTCTTGTCCTAAAGAAGCGATGGTATCTGTATGAAGACTTGATGAAAAAATAGCAAATATTTCTTGAAAATGCTGCAAGCCCATGAGAGGATAAATGCTGTGTCATGTAAAGTCCTCAGCCTCTGATATCAGGAAATCTTCTTTGCAATGAAAAATACCCCAAACCCCTTATTTAATTAAAAATACCAATCAGAATGAAACCAGAGGAGTTCCTCTGGCAAAAGGTGTGTTTCCATCTCACCTAACTGGAAAAAAATACTCATAACACATAGGGGAGGAGTTTTTCAGCTTTCTTGAGGGACTGAGCACATCTACCAGTGATTTATATCATGATTTGCTTGAGAGAATTAAACAAGGTAAGACCATTCAACCAGAGGACAGTAATGCAGAAACGTACTTTCTCTACCCAAATCTGGGGTAGACCATGACTACGTCCAGGGCCCATCTTGCATGTTGGTTTGCGTTCCTTAGAGTAGTGTATCTTAATCCTGCCCAAGTGCACATGAAGTGTTCAAACACAAATTACGATCTTATGGCATAAGTATCCAGAAACGCCCATCAGTGAGTACTTATCTCCCTAGCTTGTAATGTTTTGTTCATATTTCCAGTACTGCTGTTACCAAAATACTCAAGGTTGGAGGAGAGAATTGTTCATACACATTTCTTTCTTTTTAAATGGTAGTTTTGGAAACAAAGAGAAAATGAATTAAAATGAGCTGACAATTTAAAGCTACTAGCCTGTCAACGTAAAATACATACAGCTCATATGTGCTTGCCGATAAAGAGACTGTAGCTGTGCTATTTGGGAACTTTTAAAAACAAAGCTTGATCTCTCAGCACCTCTGAGCTTCAATATAGTTTAGCAATGTGGCAATTAAAAGTTTATTATCAAGTCCTCCTAGAAACAATGGCCAAGTATCTTTAAAAGGCATAGATGGTTAGCATGTAAGGATTTGTGTGCCTGAATTACTGCCAACATATTCAAAATGCCTTTGAATAAATCATATATAGATGGAGAGTCATTATTTTAAGAAATTAAGCTTGATGAAAATAAATTGTGGAGAACATTTTGGAATGGAAAACTTGCTCCATATATGTGCCTGTGTTTTAAAACAAGGAGTTTCTACAGTTGAACACAAGTTACTCACTTTGTTGTTGTCGTGATGAGAACCGTGTGGATGAAGCTCCAGAGTGCTCTGCAGCTGGCCCAGCGGTGTGGGCTGCCCTCAGGCAGCATTGCCAGGACAGGCCTTTTAAGCCTTTTACTCAGAATTCACAACCACCCAGAAGGTCATACTGCTTCTGGCGTGCCTGTTGTATAGACCCATGTACAGTCTGGGGCAGAGGCTGGGCTCCTCAGGATATGGAATGGATCTTGGTGCTGGGCTGCTGGTGCCGGTGCTCAGGTGAGGGCACTTGACACGTTAGCAGGAGAGGACTTCATGTAGCATGAGTGACTGGGCAAACTGGGGTTTGTGGGGGTAGTGGTTTGGGGTAAACCTCACAGAGGTCATCTATGGCTTTGAATGAGCAGCATGAGTTGATTCGGGTCACAGTTTATTGGCTGGTGGGTGCAGCATTTCAGTCCTCCACGAATGCTGCAGACCACACAGGGAAGTCCACTTAACAGAGGACTCTGGGGGAAGGGGTAATAAAATGCTCACTGTGGAGAGCAAAGCACTGGAAGAGCCTTGAGATGGGTACGTATGGAAATGCCACAGAAGAAAATGCATTTGTCTCTCCCCTACTTCCCCAGGTGCTTTAAGTTAGGCTTGCATTCTGCATATGATTTATTACTGTTTATATACTTCATAATATATGCCTTCCATTTGAAGGTAATTCAAAAGGGCGAAAACCCCCAAAGGTCTTTCCAGTTGTTACATACTTTGAATAATGTTCCAGTGCCACTAATGACAGAACACCTGCTGTTACGAATGGGAATATTCACATCTTTCAGAAAACCCTGTGGAATCCATTTTCAGGGAAGAGGTTCTTGAAAAACAGGGTGGTAGGAGGGAGTCTGTCATGAGTCAAGGAGAGGAGGCAGTGCAGAACTGGTGCAGGAGAGATGTTCTGGCTCAGGGCAGACAGACGTGGTGGGAATGATTGATGTGCACTTGCTGCATCCTTGAGAAGGAAAATGAGTCTGGGTGGTTGGGTTCTCTTCGGACTGTCTTTGATGATAACGTGTGATTGCAGTGGGGTTAAAGGCAGACCTGACTTGCAGTGGGAGAACTGGTGCCAACAAGGGAGTTGATGCATGTCTCCAGTGAGGGCTAGCGAACGGTATGGGTATCTGAGGGGAGGGGAAGGCTGTTTGGGCCGCCTGAGTTGACCGATGGAAACGTTTGGTTCTCTGATACATCTTCATCCATGTGCTACCTTCAGTTCCTGGAGCCTTTCCTCATTTTCCCCATCCACCCATGACTCAGTCTGACTCAACAGACTTGACACCTTGACAGGTTTCCAAGCCCAACACACCAGTAGTAGTCAGTTTGCTCAAAGAGCAACCTATAGAAGCGTTTATCTCCAAGGTTAAAAATAAGGGAGATTAAAACCCCTCACAACACAGACATATGCCTGGTGGTTTGGTCTGTCTCTTGTATTTAAGTTTTTTTTAACACAGCCCAACTCACCCACTCTCTGGTAACATCACAGCCCACTGTACACAGCATGAGGCTGCTCTGGCAGTGCTTCGCTGTAGGAGTTCTCGCTGCTTGCATGGGGGTACGAAATTTCTAAGCTTCTCCTCAAGTTTCGAATGAATTTTGTGTTGTCCTCAGCCCAGCAGCTGGCTTGGCAGTCGTACACCCATTGCAGCCCTCACTGCCTTCCTCAGCCCGACTCTGCAGTCTCACCTTTGCGCTTACTGGAGCTGTAAGGTTTCCTCACACTCTTGTTGACCTTCTCTTGGTTCTGCCTGTGTTTGGTGGAGCTCCATGGGCAAGGAGAGGTGGAGAGAGCAGAACCCGTCCTCTCCACCTCACCCAAAAGCTGCTGTGACCCTCACAGAGGCCTGTAGCTTCTGTTAAATGATTTGCCAGCCCCAGCTCAAAGCAGGCAACTGGTGCAGAAACACAGTGTTGGTTCTGCGGCTTTGCCAGCTTTGATTTAAATGCTAAACATACATGTGGTACAGTATGTCATCAATCTCCACACACACATCTCTTTCTATAATGCCTGGGTAACTGCTACCATTTCAAGATTGATATTAAGTTTCTTTTCCATCTACCATCTAAAACTGGGAGCAAAAAGGAAATGGTTATTGGTAGCAAAACTGTATTTGCTGGCAGCAGGTAAAGATAATGACTTTATTCAGTAAGACTCAGTGCTGCCATTAGTTTTTTAAAGGCTGTTCTAGGTAAACTGTGTTTTAATAAATTTTAAGTAAGCTTTTTCTTTTTTTTTTAATGGAACACTAAATAAAGTAAATTCCATATCCATGAGGGAACTGCTGAGCTTTAAGACAGTGAAGCAAGTTGTAACCCTTCTAAAAGCAAGGTTTTATTTTGGCTGTTGCACATGACATTGTTGCTTGTTTTTCAGAGGATGAGCAACTGGAGGTGTCACAAAAATGCAGCTGATGAGTGTGACCTGAGGACAGAGCCAGAAACAGATGACTTGTGGTGCTCATGGCGAATACACAATATTGGTTACGCTGCCTGTTCAGTAAGACCAGCAGGATGCTTTCTTTCACAGCAAGGCAACCCAGTGAAAACTGAGGCTGCAGAGATACCCCTGAGGGTAACAGAACTCAGTGTGCATTCAGGTGAGCAAGGCAGAAGTCTTTTACAGGACTTGGGCCATAACTGGAATAGACTTCCTGCTGGAAGAGTAAAGCTGTTTGCAGTCAAATGGGTTTTAATGAGAACCACTCAACCGGCAGCACACCCTTTGCACCACGTCACTGGAGAGGGGTTTGAGTCTGAATCCTTACGCAGAAAAGAGGGAGAAATTTTACAGTTATCATCATGAGGATCTAAAATGTTGATCAGGCAACTCCAGCAGTGTTGCTCAAATATGGCTGTTAGCACTTCCTGTTATGCATCCAGGATTCTTCAGGTTTGTCCTTTGTTGACAGAAATTATTCTTCTCTTCCTGAACTGTTTGAGGTTTGTGGTATCAGTGTTCAATAGGCAGGCACAGCACTGATCCCTCTGCAGGCAGGAGAACTGTCCTGCTGGTTTTGTTTAACCTGTTCCAGTTTTAACTCAGGCTCAGGTCCTTCCATGAATGCCAGTTTCATCTGAAAAGGAGGTACATGTTTGAGAAGCAACCACTTCTGAGTATGGGCCACTGAGATCATCGCAGTGAGTATGTCCACCATTGGAACTGCTTTCTTCTATCTGGTTCCCTACAATCACTTGTCTGTAATGTGTGGAGAAGGGAAAAAAGAAAGTACTGTTATCAGGGACATCTGTTTGGAAGACAAATAGCAGCAGTTTCATAAGCAAGTACAATATCAAAGTCTGTAACAATACAGAAGATGGTTCAAAAACACTGAACCCAACAGGACAGATGCTTTTGGACTTCAGCTCTCTTTATCTACTACAAGAATCATGTTCTTATCTGGAAATAGAGTATGACCAAAAGTGTGTGCTGTGGCTGGTATGTGGTGACTCCCCCTTGCCCCTCAACATAGGACCTTGAGCTTGGTTCTTTAGACGTATTTTTAAAGAGGAAACTGGAAAGTTTGCCATAACTTTCTCTGTACAAGCATGAAGGGAACTGTCAGGGCTGCTCCTGGGAGAGAGAAGAGGGACAAGAGCTTTGTGTGACTGTGAATGGGTGTCACTGGGGGCAAGAATAAGAGGGATGTGTGATATTTGGGAGAGAATCCTTGACTCTGGGGTTGGGAAAAGGCAAGATACATCTCTAAGGGCTGGTGGGGATCTGAGCAAGAAAATGGGACAGACCTAAGAAAGAGTGGGTAGGACTAGGGTAGCAGGAAATTGCCAGTGTACATATAATGGCAATGTAAAGCTTTATAGTTCTGACAGAAGGCAGTGGAGGGGTCAATGAGAGGAGAACAGCAGAGTGCACACTGCCTCCTCCTCCTCCCTGAGCCTTCTTCCCAGCAGCTTCCCAAACCTCACCCTAAAAACATAAGGAGCAGATGCCTCCTGGCCTAGAAGCAGTAAGTTCCATCCAGCATGGCTGAACACAAGATCCCAATTACTACTATATCTGTAGGGCTTCAAAGGCAGGGAGGAAAATTACATTGGGAAGAAAAATGTAACCCAAAAGTGAGAATGAAAATGGAAAACTTTTGCCTGGAGCCATCGCTTCGGAGACAAGAAAGAAGACATCTTTACTAAAAGCCAATGGTTCAGTGGTTAGATAAACATTACAACCAAAATCTAAAACCAAAATAAGATAAAGTAAATGGGATGAAAAAGGAAATAATTATTTTTAATACTCTGGAGAAATATAAACTTTATAGCCTCCAATTTGTATTGATTAATTGCTAACGAAAGCTTAAAGTATCTGTGCCTGACAAGACTAATACAACAGGGATTTTGCTTAGTGGTAAATCGAAAAGCCAAAACAAAACCCAAAAGTCTCAGCAACAGGCCCACTGCAGGCAGGCAGATTTGGGTTTTCTCTGCTATGATGCAGGCATGTTAAAGAGTTCTCTCTTCTCTTTGTTTGACAGAAACAAGACAAAAATACTCTTACCAAACAGGATGTTGTCTTTCCAGTCCATTACGCAGCTAAATATATCAGCTAGCTATCCATACTTTAAAATCAGCTAGAGAACTTGCATCCTTGAGGCCTGGAGACTGTCTGAGGAGAACTCTGTCCGGCTCTAGTTAATTGTTAACCATCCATGGAACAGCAGGGAAGTTTGAGGAGGCTGGAAGAGCCCTGGTGTCCCAGTACTTGCAGACTGAACGGGTCAAACCAGGTCTCTAGAAAGCAGTGCAACTGACCTCAGCCCCAGGCAAAATCATGGAATTAAAGCTAAGATAAGATACAACTGAAAAAGTGTTTCAAAGGACAGAAAAACTCGTTCCAGACAGCGTGGTGTTACAGAAAACCACACTGGTGAAAAATGTCTGATGCCATTTTTTCAGGGGAATACAATTTGGAGGCTATATGGAGCTATTTAAACTGCAGCAAGGCATTTGACTTAGTATTCCATACTGCCTTCTTTAAAAAGGGCTATACACAAGCCCCATTAAACAGGTGTTACATGAATTTGGCTTCTCAAAGAGTAACTGTAGAATGATCTCTGACTGTAGCTGTTTCTAGCAGCACTCCATAAGCACCCACCCCATCCTGTTCAGCTTTTTTATCAGAGATCTGGAAGTAAATGTAAAGTCACTCTGAATTAAACATGCAGATAAAGATACAGTGATATAAGAAGGAGCAAATGGTCATATAGCACAGACTGGACAGCTAGCTATGATGGACCTATTCGAACAATATTAATATATTGAATTTAAAGCCTCAACCCTGGCAAAAATATTTTTCCCTGAGAACTGCAGATTTTTCATAAACTAATCTCCTAAAACCAGTGAATTTTTGGCACACAGAAAAACTTGAGCTATTCAGGAAAAATGTAGAGCTGATATTTTGCGTTTATGGATTCCTGGGGACGGATCTGATCTTTGAAAGCCTGGAGCAGGTGATGCTGTGATTCTAAATTTTCACAGTGTGATAGACAGTGTGGTAAATATCTGTCTCAAAATCACTGTCACTAAAAATCAGTGATCACATTTTGGCCTTCTTCACTAATGAACAACTATAGTATTTTTCTAATGCAAATACACATTTATCCCTAATTTTACTGAAGAAGTTTATCAGTTAAGGTAAGATGCAGTGCCAAGGCATTGTTATTAAACTAGGCAGAGAAATGAGAAACCCTGAACAACTTAAATACCAGAACTTGTTCTATGGAGAGAGCTCTGTGTGAGCTGTACCCAGGCAGAGACATGGGGAGCCTGCATCCCTGCCCGCAGCAGGCAGCACTCTCAAATCTCCAGTGCACGAGTTGTCTGTGGTTTGGTTTATGTCCCTTGAGAGTGAGCTGACATAATCTCAGGAGTGCCTGGACTGGGCATTCTGCACCCTTCGAGAGGAGATAATGTTGGATTTGATAATACAGTTGCTCACAGGACACTATTCAAATGCATGGCGGAAGAGTTCTTTCACTCAATTGACACTCAGTTGTCACTTGTCAGTGTCTGACTGGCCACTATTAGATGGAAGCTTTGTTGTGTCACTTCAACCTGTGTAACAGTTTTAAAGCAAAAAGCCCCATCATTTCATTTTCCATGAAGAACTAGGGAGAACTTCAGAAAGCAACCGAGAACACCTTAATGCTAACACAGCCAGCCTGCTTCCTGGTACCTGAGCAGCGCAGCCCACTGCACAGTCCACCTGGATGGATGTTTACACCAGACTTGGAGAATGTCTGAGCCACAGAGGGTAAGTTCTGACCTCACATCCATCTCAACTGCAGTCTCACTGCATGGGATTTCTGGAAGGACGCTGGCTACTGGCAAACAGCCTCTATTCCTGGCTCTGAGTTCATGCAGCGCCTGGTGCTATACAAACCCCAGCTCGTTGTTTTTCACTTGGAGAACAGTTATCTCTGAACAAGCTCAGCAGCACCACACCAAGCGTAATACCAGTCCCAGACCTCTCTCCAGTGGCATGATACCTGCTAAGAGGTGTGGAGTATGCTTCTTTAGATGACGGGAGTGAGAACACTTCCCTGTGAAGACACTGTAATTTGAGCTCTGGTGACCAAAGTCTAGTAACAGGCTTTGACAGCCCCTAGCCAACAGTTTTAACAGCCTCTGCCCCTGTGGGTCTGAAGCTGCTCACATCAAAGTGAGCTGGTTCTGGCAAGAGAAAAAGAGAAAGCTCTCTCATGATGGAGGTCTGAAAGACAGCTGTATCCCTTGAAACCAGAGCTTGGGAATAGCAAGATTTATTATCTGATGTTTGAGATTAAATTCAGAAACTACTGGGTAGAAATCGGGCTAGATCCCCAGGAACACCGTATGTGGGAAGCCAGCTGAAAAGACCTGGCAGGCTTAGTTTCTTCTGACACAAGGAATGATGCTGTAACCTATGCAAGGAAGTTATGTAGACCTCAAATGCTGGTCTTGTGAGAGACATGACATTTAAGTACGACTGAGAAACTGGGTTCTTTCTGAGCTCTTACCCAATCTTGGTTATAAAGTTCAAGATACCTGGGTGTGAGAATATGTGATTACCACTAGTGAGAGACAGTAGGTCCAGATCACAGTTGAGTGTATCTTCAGTGAATTTATAGACAGACAGTTTACCTTGATTCCAGGGAACAGTCTACTATGCTAGGAAAGAGAAGGCTGACTAAAGTAAAGAACAGGAGAAGCTGCTTTACAAAAGTAGAAAACAGGATCGTGGTATGCTTAGCCAGAGAAGTACCTCTCATGAGGACCTTCTTACTATAGTATGAAAAAGGATTTCCCCTCCCCGAAGACAAGGTAGCATGCCCAAGTAGAACTATGACACATCTTATGGTCATCCAAATATGGTGCCTGAGATTCAATGCCTTTGTGTGCAGGAATAGGTACTTTTTTGATTGTAGTATAGGGTGGTTACATTGAATTCATTAATGAATATTACAGTCTTGAAGGTAAGCTAAAGAAAGAAAAACCAGCCACAACCTCTAAGAACTACCTGCCCTCATGTGAGATCTAGGATATTGCTACAGATTTTTTTCTGTCCTAGGGACCAAAACCCCTGAGCTGTCAAATATCCAAAATAGTTCCCCAGTTCCAGGAATGAAGCAACTGTTGCAATTGACCTGGACAGGGAAAAAAAATTGGAAAGAGCACACAGACATTGTACATTCTGTCCACCACATCAGTGGTTATCTGTCTGTCCATGAAGGAAATGCTCACCTGCAAACTGAGAAAGAAGTTGGCTGTAGAGCAAGTGTTTTCAAGCCAAGTCTCACATCTCTGTTTGGCAAGCTGCATCTTCAGACGAAGAAATGTTGGGTAGAAGTTGGTGGTAGCCAAAGGAAAAAAATATATAAACGCTGAATGGTGTTTCTTATTGCCAGAAATCTGTCTGAAGCCAGCAAGGCTCATGTCAGAGTCCCTTGACTGAGCCTCTCTGAGGCTACTATGGCAGCAAGAAACGTGGACAAGGGATGAGACATGCAGATCTTCCAACTCTCTGGGTACCCTGTTTTTTTGCCCTGCATTACATGGTCTGGAAGGAAAGCGATAGCCAGAAGATTCTGGATGTCCACAGTGGCCTCAGTCACGGCTGTCAGGAATGCACAGCCGCCAGTGAAATGCATGGGAAACCGGTGTCCCCTCTTGAAAGGTCCAGGAAGGAACTTCCCCTGCCCCCTTCCACTGCATGAAGTTCCAGCCTTGGTTGGGAACTGTCTCAAGCCACTAACCCTTATTCTTCTGTATCGGTTTGGATGGTAGGAAACGTAGCTGAAACAAATGTTAATACTGGCTCTGACTATAGCAGTGTGGGAACCAACTGCCTTGGCATGCATTTGAAACAGTTGGTCCCATGCCCCAAACCTTTTTTCTTCATTTATTTCTGTAGGGATAGTGCAGTGTGACAAAAGGGACTGGGACATAGACTCTTTGCTACATACAGCTCTCTTGCAAGCATCAATCCTCTCCCCTTGCCTGAACTCACTCTGACTTGGCACCAAATTGCTTTCTATTGCAGAGAAGAATGTGGTGCAATCGGATCATGGATTCAGGTCTGGAATTTCTCAGTGTCTAAGGATTATGCTGTGGCATAAGCAGATCTAGTGTTGATATGCCTTTCAGAAGATCCTTTGGCACTGACTTCTGTGTGGAGATGCGGGTAAAACTCAGCAGACCATATTGTGGTATCTGGCATACCCTGGCCAGAATAGTAAGACTTTGGCATACAGAGTGGTGGAAGCAATACAACTACTGCTCATTATACAAGGCCAAAACATAACCTTCAGGGACCCACAGAGATCCAGCTGACAATAAAGACAGCTGACAGGCGGCAGTGGGGGTTTGCTCAACACCAAACTGAAGCAAGAAGGTACGCTCTTATGAACTGCCAGACTTGAAAGCAGGCTTGTTTCCCCAGGCAGTTGAGCAAGCTGGAAGAGTACACGCTGCCCCATATGTCCCTGGGCTTGACAGAGAGATGGATGAGCACAGGAACAGTGAAGGTAAAAGTTCTCCAGCCTTGACCAGTGACGTGAATGTGCATTTGTTGGGTGAATGTATCACAATTATCACAGGAGACAGATTTCAGTGCAGAAATTAGATGATTGTCATGCCAAGGGTAATGGATGGATTGCATAACAAAGATGACAACAGGGGAGGATGGTGGAAGTTAATGGGAAGAACTTCTTTCAGGCACCCCACTTCATTTCATTGCGGGAATCGGAAGAAGTGGAATTGGAGTGGGGGTTAAACACCACATGGAACTCCATCAAGGGCAAGTTTGGGGGTGTTTGAATATTCTCCCCAGTCCTAAAATTGTTTTCTTGAAGCATGTTTCAAGATTAGAAAAAATGGTAAGATGGGATTGCTTCAAAGCCTCAGCAAATTCCATCCAACACTGCCTTCCAGTAATGATTCCTGAGCTCTCCACAAAATATCCCTAGACTTGCTTTGCTTATAACAGCTCTTTCGATGGGCAAAACTGAACATACATACTAGGGATAAATATGGATATTTTAAATCCAAGTATTTCACTCAGTAACATGATGCAGAAGTGAAATTAAAACCAAACCAAACCAAACCAAAAAACCCCCCAAACTTAACAACTTTTGTTTAAGTCTTCCAAGCACTCTGAGATTTCCATGTATACAGACTTCTGCCACTTTTTTTTAGGAACAGTAAATTAATGGGAACATGCCTCTGTTAGTCTGTAATTTTATGTCCATTTCCATCTATTTCTTGTATTGTTAGCTTGCCTCCTGCTTCGTGGTTTATTTGGCAAGTTGCCTTTTTATTGTTGTTGTTACCTTTTGTGAGCATGCCAGAGGCCTTAGGGTGCCAATAAATTCGAATATTAGTGCTCCTTTTTACTGCCATATTATACCCATTTCCCTCTGCTTGCTGGTGACCTAATCTTGAACCTCTGCCTAATCTGCTGAGCTGAATTTTCTGCTCAGCATCCTTGTTTGCAGTAAATGTGCTTGCCAGAAAAACCAGCAGCAAACAAAGTAAACCAAATGTAAAAAGCTGCAAACAGAAACCTGTCCTTGGCAAAGTTCAAAATCACAGGCAGTGCTAGAACTACATTCCCATTCAACAGGTGGGTGCTGCACATCAGTGGGCGCTGCATCTCCACCAGGCACATCTGCTGCTGCTACCTTCATAGGACAGGGTCTGCAATCTTTTAGGAGACTAGGGATGTGCCTGGCAACAGTGAGGTATTTATGCAGCCTCTGTTTTCACTAAGGGAGGTTTCAGATGGAAACTAGAACAGATTGGCTATTCTGTCGATAAGAACTGAAAATGAGCTAGCAATAGGTGCTTGCAGCCCAGAAAGCCAACCATATATCCTGAGCTGCACCAAAAGAAGCGTGACCAGCAGGTCGAAGGAGGTGATCCTGCCCCTCTACTCTGCTCTCATGAGACCTCACTTGGAGTACTGTGTGCAGTTCTGGTGTCCCCAACATAAGAGGGACACGGACCTGCTCAAGTGAGTCCAGAGGACCATGAAGATGCTCTGAGGGCTGGAGCACCTCTCCTGTGAAGACAGGGTGAGAGAGCTTGTTCAGCCTGGAGAAGAGAAGGCTCCACAGAGACCTTATAGCAGCCTCCCAGTACATAAAGGGAGCCTACAGGGAGGCTGGAGAGGGACTTTTTAGAAGGGTATGTAGTGACAGGACAAAGGGTAAGAGTTTCATACTGAAAGAGGGTAGATTTAGGTTAGACATTAGGAAGAAATTCTTCACTGTGGGGGTGGTGAGACAATGGAACAGGCTGCCCAGAGAATCTGTGGCTGCCCCATCCCTAGCAGTATTGAAGGCCAGGCTGGATGGGACTTTGAGCAACCTGGTTTAGTGGAAGACATTCCTGTGCATTAGCAGGGGGCTGGAACTAGATGATCTTTAATGTTCATTCCAATTCAAACTATTCTATGATTTTACCTGCCACTGGAGGATATTTCCCTGTTTCATCAAGCCCAGCTATTAAAACAGTCTGGATGATACAAACACGGGGCTCTGGGACCTCTGCCTGCAGAGCTAGATATGCTGCTCACATGCTGAGCCTGAAGATGCTTTTCTGGGCTACTTGCTAGCCCAGACCCAGTTCTGTCTCCCTGCTGCTGAACAGCACTCTACGGAAATCCAAATGAAGGTACTCAGATGAGAGTGACAAAATCACACCTGCAAACTTTAATCACAAATGAACTGGACTGAGGGTAATTCCAGAAGATTCTCTCCCAACAGAAACCCCAGTGTGACCGTGTTTTCTCACTCCTAAGCTGACTGGTACTGTGAATGCTACACATCCATGGCTGGCAGGTGTTTCAAGTCATTTCACAACTACACTTCCAAAGGGTTAATACTCTCTCTGCACTTGTAGTTTTACCATGGGCTTACTTTGCTGAAGGACAGACGTTCAGATACGGGGCATCTTTGGGAAGGAAGGTATTGTCATACTCCTGCCAGGATTTGCAAAACAAAACACCAAAAGGAAAATTCAGATCTTCAGATCTTCAGCCAATTATAAATCAGTAATTTTACTGAGTTATTTTATCCTACGAGAGCTAGAAAGTGTTTAAGGACTGAGTCACACACTTATTTTAGGCAAGAAAGAAGCGTGCCTAACCTTCTGCATAACAGACCAGAGAATGACAGACCATACAGTACATCCTTACAGTAATTTTTGGATGAATGCAAATACATGTTCTCCAGCTGTTCAGTCATCAAGTAAAAAGAAGAATTAATCACAACCCATTTAATATTCTACTCTAAGTTGTTCAAGTGAGTCATTACCCTCACATAAAATATGTGGTACATCAGAGTTTGTGCAGAGTCACCTTCCAGCCATGACAGTTATCAAGGGGCTCTTGAATTGGACACTAGTGTTCTGAAAATGAAGACAGTTCACAAGGAGCATCTTGGAGCCACTGCTCCTTAAGAAACTACTTGAGTTCATTTCTCTCACTGTAGGATGTGTTTCTGGAACTCTTCAGTTTTCTGATTCTTCCCAGCTTCTTTAAAACCTCTTTTAAAGAGCGCATTCTAACATAAGCACAGCATTCCTGGGACAATTTAAGTAACAGTGTGCATGCTATTATCTTCCTGATCACAGTAATAAATTTTCTCTTCATTTGCTCAAGGCTTAGAGAATTGCTTTGGGAGCTTGTGTTCACCCGCTTTACCAGTAGTACCAGATGTACCCCTCCATGGCAGGGAAGTTAGAACTAGATGATATTTAAGGTCCCTTCGAACCCAAACCATTCTGTCATTCTATTATTCCTTCTCAGGTGTGGTTTACAGGAGTTACTTTCCCATTCCATGTGTAAAACAGACACTTACTTACATAGTATGTGATCATGACAGCTGGCATAAGTAAAATGCATGTTGTTTGCCAGTGTACCAAACAGTCCAGACTGCTCTGCCTATCCTCGTGGTTTACTATTCCCCCATGTTTCTGTCACCTGCAAACCTCATCAGTTGTGTATTTATTTTTACCCAAGTGACTAATAACAAACACTGAATAGCTGTGGGTTGAGAGACACTTAAACAAGAACATGAAAAGTGCCATCTCTAGGTGCAATTATAAATGTGGTATGTGATTGCTGGATCACTTGAAGCACTGAATGAATGTTTCATGCAGCTTATCTTAGCACACTGATCTATACTTACTTTATCTCTGGTTGTACTTACTTTACTGAAGTTGATCCAGAGCGGGACATACACAGTAAAATAAGGAAAAGAAACGTCACAAACGCAGCAAGCCCAACCCAGAAGGCTATGACAATAGAATCTGTGGACACAACACAGTAATTCTGTCACTGGTACCATAGCAAATATAAAACACAGCAATATCATTTATGACCTCTAAGAAAGGTGTGTCATTTAATTAATTCCATTTCATGAAACCTTTTAGAGAGAGGAATCTGAGTGCCAAGTTGTTAGAAGTCTTGAGAGTCTCCTAGCAGTTTACTGTAACAGTGCATGGCCAGAGCTGGGGGAGAGGTTGGTGTGATGGTGACTAGAATAGTGAACATATTTAAACGGTAATACTGAGCACCTGGCATGGTTTTCAGTTTCATCTCTTTGCAAGTAATATGTACAGTTCCTTTTGCAAAATCACAGCGCAGTAAGCATTGTGGTACTCAAGACTGAGCCGTCACTGATCAGTGCATAGCCAAATCCTGCTCTTAGATGAAAAAGTACAACCCATGATCTTTAAGATGATGCTTTTAGGGAGGGAATTCTAACCCTGAAAACCAAGAGAAATACCAAGGAAAGCTTGTCGAAGAGTGTCCATGACCCTCATGGCACATCAGGCCAGTAGAAGAGAATAAACCTTCCCCTGTTCAGCTGCAATACTTCCGTAATGATCATAAAATAGTTAAAAATGCAGTCTGCTTTATCAGGACTAAGTGATTTCTTTAAGGAACAAGTATGTGGATTCCTAGCACCCAAGTATGTGTTCACTATACTTTAACCATAGTTTAACCCAGCCTAAGACCCTGCCACTGCTATTACCCCTAATTCAGATGAAGAGTTTTGTTATTTTTATTAATAAAAGCAAACACAGATTATCTGATCACTGATCTGGGTGACCAGTGCTAATGGGAGTATGAAATGGTTGAGGAAGAAAAGGGAGTTACTCTTTCATGAATGAAGGCTAGGGTGCTGTGCAAATTACTGCCTCAGTTACAGGCTTGCTGTTGGATGGGATGAATTGATTCCTGCCCCAGTAGCACATTTGGTCACTGTTTCAACAATTCTCCTTCCTGGGATCAGTGTGGTGGTGGCGACTGTCCAAGTTAAAGCCTTGAAAAGACTGGGTGTTCTGCAGGGCACAAGTCAAGAAATGCCCTGAATTCATAACCAGCTACTCACTTAGACTGAGGTGAAAAAGAAGGGTCACTGACTCCAGAGACAAATATTGACCAAGATAAAATAAATCTTCTAACTGAAAGGACAGAAAACACTGTGTTCTTTGAATCAGGTCCAATATGTTTGATTAGGTGTTTCTTTGTGAAGAAGTTCAGAACGTGTTGTCATCAGAACCACAAATAGATTAGGAGGAATTATTCCAGCTCCGTTTAAACCTAAAACTAGAGCTGGCCCAGCAGGAATCTTATTATAAAGTGAGTTTTGGTTGGGCTACTTAGAAATGAGAATGTGGAGGATTAGCTTATTTTATTCTTCCTCTGTTAAAAAAGTTTTACTGAGCTTTAACTCAGAGAATGGTAAATTAGGAGGTGAGAGAGCAAATGTGTCCCTGCCTGTAGAAGCTGTTTGGAACTAGATGATCTTTAAGTTCCCTTCCAACCAAAACTATTCTGTGATTCTATTGATTATATATATTCTGACCTGCTCTTCCCAAACACATTATGGGGAAAAGTGATGAGATGCTACTGGCCCACCCACACTGCTCAAGGGAAAATTAGGGGACAAGATCATGGTCCATGGGTATTTTGAAAAGCTCGAAGTTTTGAACTGTTCAAAGTCATCAGAACAGGAAAGAATACTTTGAATTTATAGAATTCCCTATCAATCAGAGCTATTTTGGTTGCATCTTTTAAAAGCAGCATTAATACGATCATGGAATTCACTAAAGCTAAACAAATTTGTTCCGGGTCTCAGGGGGAGTTTGGACTCTTGAGGGATAAACAGAAACCTCCTGTTTTCAAAGTCGTGCAATTTGATTTTTTTTTTAAACTGGAATAACCTATTTTAACAATCTATAAAAAGCTTTTCTATTGCTAAACTTTACAGTCACCTTTAGCGTGTGTGCATATGTTTTTAAATAGCCTATTAGTTCACGGGCCAATTTAGCATTTTATTATTTTTATACAAAATGGAGAGAGCTGCATAACACTATTAATAGGAAGCAAGACCATGACTTTATGGTTGGATTTAGATTCCTTTTCATGAGACATACAGAGTCTCACAATGCTTCAGGGTCAGCCCATTTTGGAGGAAAGAAAGTGCAGAGCTTCAGGTCTCCGGTTTTACATTAAATGAAAGAACCAAAACAGGCAAAACTGAATTAGGGAGCTATAATCCCATCCCAGGGGTCATGACGACAGTATAATTCATTTGGGCTGATTCAGCAATGCACCTAAACAAACATCCAGGTCCCACTGCAGTCAGTCAGCAGACGCCCTCTGGAACATCAACACAGCAGTTATTGTGATCCCAGAGGTTATCCTATATTTTGATAAACTTGGAACGTTTTTGTCTATCTGAGGGAAAATTATCACATTTCATCTTCAGCGCAAAGGGCAAAGACTTGCTGAACTTATTTCTTCTACACACTTCCAAGCACATGAAGACATTAATCCTAACAGTGGCTTTTGAAGTTATAAGAATGTAAATACTACTACAAAGACAGGAAAATCTACAAAGTATAGTCATTGCTTGGCTAGTGCTTTTACTCAAAACAGGGAAAGAACTATCCAACTATGGAATCGTTTCCCTTGGTGTTTTCTTTATAACTTGTAACTGTTCTTCCACTGGTGTTTGGAGAAGGAAGAATAAAAGCACCAAGGTGATGCTATCTCCATTCCTCTTAGACTGCTGACATGAAAAATATTTATAGGAAGAAAAAGAAATAAAAAGAAGTTTCACTTCCCCGGCTATCAGAAAAAAAAATCCCCAACATTTTTAGTTTAGTTTAGTAAGTGGTATAGGCAATGTGGGCTCTTTAAAAGGCACAAATAATGGAGGAGCACTCCATTTTGACAAGCTGCCTAGAAATAAACAAGATTCCCCAGGGAACTAAAATTGCCTTAATATTAACCTGCTGAGGGGGAAAAAAAGTACATCCCAAACCCTACGCTTGTATCTTTCTTCTTTGTCTGGAAGCTGGGCACAGAAATCTGTTTTCCCTGCAGCGTTGTTTCCCAAAGCTGAGCTCAAAAGTGATTTTCTTTGGTGTCCAATAGGGCATGATCTCACCCGGCAGCCTTTTTGTCGGTAAAGGTCTTCACTCACAATGTTCTTCCTCTATCCTCTACTCACCAGCTGTAGGAATTTGCATATATTTTCTATTTTTGAGATCTCCACTCCTAACTAGATTATGTTTGAGTTAGTTTAGGAGCAGATGAGACGCATAAACACAAAGTATGATTGCATAAATCATCTCCTTAGGATACAAAAGGACCTGAAAGGTGGCAGACTTCCTCACTTCTTTAGGGAAAGAGAACAAATTAAAAAATTATGAATCTATAAGATATAGGTTTACTCTGCTTTTTTAATTGAAATAAGGCTTACAAGGTCACTCATAAGCACTCACACAGTGTGTGGTAATTTCCATCATGAAACTATCAACAAGTTTAAATTTAATAGAGGGTGAGCATCTTCTCTCAGAAGCACAGCTTCTATGAGTTTCAAGACAACAGGCAGAAGGGTAAAAAGAAATATCCTACAAATTGCCAAAGAGGGAAATGCTGTAACACAAACTCCACCTCTTGTTATGTGTCAGGCAACCCAAATGTTAGAAAGAAATTATTAATGAGAAAAAGAGGTAAGATTCCTCATTTTTGTTGGTCTGGTTTGGTTTGTTTTTGCTAAGCCACCCACACGCTGGGGACTTACAGCTAACTTCACTCAGCAGTTTGGGTTTTCCCTGCTGGAATTCAGGGGTAATAATCTACCCTAACTTTAAAATTAAGCTAATTAGAAAAGCTGCTCATAACCTGCCTGATCCCAGCAGCACCAAATGTTGCTTTATGGTATGGTGGAGCAAGATTTGGAAGGATGTGGGTATTTACACCACGTTCTTTAAGGCATGGTGCTTTTAACCCCAGGCTTATCTGAGTGGACAGAAAAGCTTTTCTAGAGGCAGAGTACAGTAAGAGTTTCTACTCGCTTTTCTTATTCTTGCTTTCAAAAGGCAAACAAAGGACACAGAGCTCTGAGCATTGTCCAGTTGAATCTTTACTATTAGAAAGACAGTTACATGTACTGCTAATTAGAGACACAAAAATATTCTGAAACACTATCATGCTTTTTTCACAGACCAGACCTCTATTAATAACCTTGGGGAAATTTTAGTGTCTGAAATTTTAGTGTCTGAAACCATATGTGAACAGTCATACTTGTCTTCAGTAAACTAAATAGCAACCAGTAAAGCTTTGTCACAAGGATACAATCACAGGTAGAGACATGGCAGAAATTGAGGGAGAATGCTGCCTATAGCCTAAGTGACTCAAACATGCCCACCCGCTCTCCCCTGATCTTCGTCAATCCATCCAGCTATACTCGGTTAAGTTAATCCCTCATGACTTAGGCTTTCACTTTATCTTATCAGAAATAAAAAATGCAGCTACATTAGGAAAAAAAAAATTAGTTGCCACTTTAAATAACCATAAAAAGACACTGCTATCTCATTGTGCAAAAACAAGGGTGAAACAAATTAACTGTTGCAGGGTGAATTCAGTGAATGCTATTTCATAATATATATACTTTGAAAATTAACTTCTAAACCAAGCAGAATCAGCTTCCACAGCAATAAAGTATTTTGACAAATATGTATATTACTTTATCTTACAGTTCAATATCACTAAATCACAGGAGGAAAGGTAACAGAATGTGTTTTCAGCTTGTTATTCCTGGCTAATGGAAACATATACTTCTTCTTTTATTAAGGTTTTGGACACTTATCAGTTGTAACGTAAGCTTCACGTCGCAAGATGAAAACTCGATAGTCTTCTGGAAAACTGCTCATTTAGCCAACCTGACAGCAGCATACAGGTAACTAGCACCCAAACCTACAGGTTTGAAAGTCATTCAGTTTCCACTTAGCAAACGGCTCAGAAAAAAATCTGTCCTTCTAAGTAAATCAGGAGTCCTATGGTTTTAAATACTGTAAGATAAAGCAAAGAGTTTCAGTATTAGTAATAACTACTATTAGAGCACAGTCAGTTTGGAAGGCAGGCACTCATCCACACAAACCACGCACATGTAACCCAGCATGGGCTCTACTGCAAGAAAAACAAAAAATAAAGTCAGTGAGACAAGCAGTGCAACATTTTTCCTGTCTAGATGAGCACCTACTGCTCTCCAATACTTACATTTATTAACCTTCAACTTGCTTCCATCTACTGGAATTGGATCGATATAATCCCAGTAATATTCATATGACCAGAAATACTCAGAGGAGTTTGTTCTGTTAGCCATTTCAGTAGTGCATTTTAAACCAGCTCAGAACTCCAACCAAATACTTTTTTTTCATTGTACTTCAGCGCCCTCAGAAAGGGATTGCATAACTGATGCCTATGTAAATCACTGTGGGGTCCCGCAGCTCAAGGACTGCCTTGGTACTGAAAACCATCTAGCAGCAATGAATACTGATGTCTGACGAACACAACACAGCAGTGACTCTCGCTTCCTGGCTGGCAATCACGTTATCCTCTACATATTTTAACCCGAGATGGCTGTCAAGTCACTTAAGAATGGGGTGGACAAGTGCCAGCTGGGTCACGTCTCCTCCCCTCTCAGAAACTTGTGGCCACGCAGCGCTCTGGAGCTGCTGCACTCAGCCAGGCTATAAAACATTTCTGGATCTCTCCTGATATAAAGGGGTAGGCAAAACCCGATGAAACGCTTCAAAAATGAATGATGTATTGGAACAACCACGTAGTTTGCTTTGCTACTTCTCCACTCCCTCCACCCCGCAGGCCATGGAGGGCACGGCAGCCTCCCTACCACCGCTAAGGCAGACCAGTGGGAGGTGTTCGGCCCACGGCAACTTTGTGCCTCGGCAACACCGCAAACGGGCTTCATCCATCCTCACAGAACCGCCTGTGCTAAACGCGAAAGCGCCCCTCAGCCTGCTGCTGGCCGCACCACTAAGGCCCCTTTGGCTGTGCTGCAGCTGCGGAGGTCAGGGCTGCTCACGGGCCGGGCCTCTGGACGGGCAAGCAGCCCTCCCGGGGCGCCTCCAGGGCACGGTACGCAGCGGGACACCACTCCGAACCGGGAGCAAGGCATACGCACACCGCGCGGCAGGCGCCAGGCCGCTTAGAGGCAGCCTGGAAAGCGCCGATCCGCGTCCGTCCCGTGCGCCCAGCCGCGGCACATCCCAGCGGACACAGCCGAGGCCGACCCCCGGCTCCCTCCCCGCCCCACTCCGCCACCACCCCCGAGGCGCGCCCACAAGGGGCCTGGCCACAAGGTTTTTTCCCGCCCGGGCGCGCTCGCGGGAAAGCGTCACTGCCGCTTCCGGCGCGGGCTGTTTGAAGGCTATGGCGGGCAGGCCCTGCTCGCTGCCGGGCGTTGTGGCGGAGCTGGACTCCTCCCTGTCGTTGCTGGACATGGGCGACGGGTGGGTACCCTCCCGTCACCATCATCCTCATTATCCTCCTCATTCTACTCCTCCTACGCCGCCGGCGGCGGAACAGCAGCCGCGAAGCGGGGACGAGAAGGAAGCAGATATGAAGCCCATGGTGTTCCTGTGCGCCGGGTGCAGGCGGCCGGTTGGGGACACGCTGAGCTGGGTGACCAGCGACGAGGAGGAGGGCTGCATCCTCCTGCGCAGTGAGTGCCGCGTTTCGCCCCGCCGCGCCTTGCCCGGCTCCCCCGCCCGTGCTCACCTCTGCCCTCTCCCTCCGCGCAGGTGCGGCCAACAGCGTCTCGGTGGACGTGGAGCGGCAGCTTTCCAAGCGGCCCGGAGAGTGCGGATGGTGAGGCCCGGGCTGCTGCCCCGGGGGTGTGTGTGTGGGGGAACTTCTCCTCTTGGACTCGTCCTTCCCTCTCCTGAGGGCTCCCGGAGGTCCTGCGGGGGGCGGTGAGGAGCAGCCCGCTAAGCGGTGCTGCTGGTGGGCAGGTGTGCCACCGGGTAGGGCCGGGAGCTGGGCCTGGAGCACTAGTTTGTGGTGCCAAAGAACATGATAAAAATCTACTTATGTATATATTTTTCTTAATAAGTGTGGGGAAAGGTGTTCCCGTTTCTCTTCTCCTGATTAAATGTTGTGTGTCTTTCTTACAGCATGATAGAAGTGTTATTCTGCTCTGGCTGCTCAATGATACTTGGCAGCATTTACAGATGCACCCCAAAGCATCTTGACTACAAGAGGGATTTGTTCTGTTTCAGTGTTGACTCCCTTGAGAGGTAAAGGCAGAATTTTTATTGATAAGTCTGACAGCTAAATTTTGCCCATCAGGCGTCATGTTGGGGGATGCTCCTGTTAATATTAGTGGCATGTCTAGAGGTAGCTGTTTCTGCTGCTTTGTTCCAGAGTGATTTTCTATATTGCTGCTGTTAGCATTGTAGTACTGAAGTGTTAGAAACATCATCTGCATAATGTTAGACAAGTCCTAGAAAAAAAACAGAATGCCAGGGCTGCCTTTCATATAAGAAAGAGCATACAACCCAAGAAAATAACACTAGGAACACAACGTGGGAGGGTTCCTCCTCATTTATTCAGAGGAGACTATATATGAGCTCTGCTTCAGACAGTATAAAGTGAGCCTATAGTCATAGGTAGTACCAGATGCATCTGTCTGTAAACTATCACAGATAAACAGATTATCAGCAAAGAACATCGGCAAAGGGGCAAAAGCTCTGCTTAGTTTAGGGTGAGGTCTGACCTGTACTGGTCAACTCTGCTTTTTCCTTGCTGAGGTAGGCAAAAGGAAATCTTCAAACCAAGTATGTGCGTAAAGGCTCTCATTTGACTGTCTTGCAGTCAAAAACTGTTTAGAAAATGATCATGTGGTATTGTATTGATTTTTAATTAGCTTATACTACTTAAAAGTGGTCTTAAAATATTCTTCAATACCTATATCCTGACCTACCTCTCCACACCAAAGTGCTTTTATCTGTTGCTCTAGCAAACAGTGATAAGTTTCTTTCTGTCTGGGTTAGTTTCAGTATTTCTGCTTTTTGTTAAGTTCTAATTTTTGCTGCTCTATCTGTGTGGATGTTCACCTTCCTACATGGGGCAGTTGGGGCTTTTAATCTCTTCCCATAGCTATGGTACTTTGCTTTTTCCGTGGCAGTAAAATTCTCCGAAACACTAACGTGGCTGCAAAATGGCATTTTCTCCCATCTAGTGCTATGCTCTTCTTAATGTATGGGGTTTTTCACCTTATCCTGTAGCACCAGAATTCATGACTGTCTCTTGAAGTTCCAGCTTTCATGCAATTATGGTATCTTGGTATTTCTATGCTTAAAACTGTCTTCATTCTGCTATAGTTTGTTTATAAGATTAACAAATATTCATGTTTGTTTTGTTGTCACTGGAATCATGCTTATACTTTGGTGTATTAATCGTGATCTCTTAATCATTGAGAACAGTGGATGAGTATTACATTTGGCTTTCTGCCTCCAGAATGAAAAGTGCATGATCTAAACTAGTAGCATATCAGTTACGTTCTAGGATCCTCAGAAAAGCAAGCTGTTATTGAAGATGAACCTTTAACTCTTCAAAGTCGAGCTGTCATGGAAGAAATGCTACTGAAGGTATGATTTAACCTTAGATCATTCTTCATTTAAATTGCCACCATGAGATCTTAATATTGTTAAATAATTTCTGCAAACAGTTTATTTCATCAGATCAATTCTTTGTGTTTTAACATGAGCTGTCATACTTCATGCTATTAATATCTTCTGTTATGCAAGATTTTCAGTAACTTTTCCTTCAACAGTAACTAGCATTTTCAAGCTAATGGCCAAGCACTGTGTGTTATCAAGCACAGTGTTAGATTCCTATTCATGTCTGTCAGTAATTAGAAGGTTTTTTTTCTAATTAGTTCTGATTCACTTCTTGGTATTCTCACTTTTAGTCGTGTCTCTTGTATCATTCATATAAACTGACACTGCTTTTGCAGTTACTTTCTGTTGAAGTATCGTATAATAAAATTGACATTTTCCTATATTGAAAACCTCTGGTTGCAGGTGGGGGGGGAGTTGGGAGCAAATAGTGTAATGAACCTGGCTCTGAAAGCTGATGGTTGTCAGCAGAAGCTGAATGTGAGGATCTGACACCAAGGTTAGAGACAATTAAAGATCTGAGAAAGTGTGGAGAGCTAATGTTAGAGTCTAGTGAACTTCCAAGCTACAGTATTAGATGCTTTATAGTACCTATCTTGGAAGTATTAGATACTTCCAGGCTAGCAGGAATAGACACAGACAAGATTGGTTATGCAAGATCAAATTTGAGCACTTACTGACACCTGCACTTGCTCTTTGTATTGTCAAGTAATGTTTATAGCAGAGTATCTTCCCCTGTTTACAGGTAGACGCTGTATTAAAGGTTCTGGAGACAAAAATGGCTGCTGTTGAATCGAGTATAGCTTCTCTTCACAAAGAAGTCTGAAAGAAATTACGTGCAGGAGGTTTAACTGCAGGAGAATGGTGTATGTGAAATTTGTCCTTGTAATCCTCTGGAATGTGTGGGAGCACTGCAAAAGCTGTGCAGAGAACTGAAAGATATTGGCTTGTTCCTTTGTAGAACAATGCTGACTATGAGTCTTCGTCACAGACAAGGAGCTCCTCTACTTTCTGTTAAAAGAATACACCAGACAGAAACAATTTTTTTTCAATCAAATTTCTGTAGACTTTTGGTTTATATGTAAATATGTTTAAATTTTTGTCTTTGAAAGCAAAGCATTTATCTCTTGACTACCCTGCTATTCAGTATCTACTGAACTGGGTGTGCATCTCCTTCCTAAACCCATAAAACAAAAAGATCCCTGTGATGTCTGAAAGAACAACATATGTCCTTTTTCTTGTCTCCACAGCCTTTGCTTGACCTGTGCTCAGAGACCAGAATGGTGCAGTGTGTGTATTGGGTGGTTGTTATAGTTTTGTTCTGTAAGCTCGAGGCTAAAATGTTTTTGAAGTCTTTTTCTATATTACATTAGATAAAATGGTTTTTCATGCAACATTGAAGGTCATACGATTTACAGCCTCAAGGGGCGGCAAACAAACAAGGCTGGCAGCAGCACACCTTTAAGCAAAGCTTGGTGTATTTGCTTTGGTGTATTTGTATACAACAAATGCAAAATGCCAGTTAAAAACACTTGTTGGTACTTCATTGTTTTGATGCACATATTTGTTATTTGTCATTAATCTTCTGTGTATTTAATTATCAGGGTTTCTTATGTAGTCCGAGTGTTCCAAGTATTTTTTTTTCCAATAAAACAAAAGTAGTTGTACTCTAAAGTTGGGTTGTTTGGTTTGGGGTTTTGGTTTTTATTTGGTTTGTGGTGTGTGGATTTTTCTTTTTTGGTTACCTGAATTTTTTTATATTTTCTCCAAAAACCTAGAATGAGCTTACCACTGTTCTCTGCATAGGTAGGCATGGTTTCTCTTACAAAAGCTGCTTCCCCCCCCCCCCCCCCCCTTTTCTCTGTGTACTGCTTTGTTTTGAAGAAGTACTTGAATTTAGCTTTTAGTGATGGATCCTGTATTCTTTCATGATCAGGTATATAAAACATTTTGTTACTTGCATACCTGCCAAAGGACTTGTTATAAGCACTAGTCCTTCCAGTCGGATTACTCCAGTGTAATTTCTTGGTAGTTTCTTCTCTAACAAGTTTTTTGAATGATGTTAAGTGACCTAATA